ACTCAAACAATTACGGCGTTCATAGCGAAAGACTTGCTGCCCATTAATACAGTGACCAAGCCTGGGTTTACAGCTTTGGTAAACACAATGGATAAGTGATACAGAATGTCCTCGCACACACATTTTAGCCAAGTTGCTATCCTGGAGCTGTACAAAAAAATGCAGAAACAGAGTTGCTGCGATGCTGAAAACAGTGGGGGGTTTTTTTTTCAACTGAAACAGGTTGATTTATTGCTTGTGTTCGTTAAAAAATACATGAGAAGAAGACATTGAAGCATAATCATATTTTAAATCACAATCGCAATATTGAGGTAAAAGATCGCAATTAGAATATTTTCCAAAATTGTTCAGCCCTAGTCAAGACCCACTGCATACCCAAGACATGCTAACTTTTCTGAAGACAAAATAAATAAATCCTTGCTCTAAACAAAATGTTCTGGTGCCTAATCACAAATAAATGGTCAATGAGAACTGTATTGAAGGATTTGAACAGTGGTGCTCAAGAGGTCAAAAAGACAGCTGTTGCATTTTTTTTCAATGGCATAAATGGACAACTTGCTTTAAAGTGTTGAAACTTTGGGTTTCTAGAGATGCAGAGCAGTCACAATCCAATGTTGTACTTTGACTACTGTTTTCAAAACTCTTAAAATTACATAAAATTACTAATGTTATAACATTTGCTTTTCAAAAAAGGTCTTTATAACACAAAATGCAGTAATAAGATTTAGCCTACACTGAAAGAAGGAAACAATGTTTAAACACCAACTACACTTTTCTGGATGCATATTTTAAATGGATATGTCATTTTATATGTTAAAGAAGATACCTCTATTCAAATGAGAAGCAGAAATTGATGATCCAGTATGTGGAAATACCACTGACATTACCAGTACATATAAAAGAACAGTCTTAACATGGCTAAAGGTTCTTCCAAAACTGCAGCTCATTTTATTTTTTGACATAATCTACAATTCCTACACTCATTAATATCTTCAGCACACAATCAATGTTGAGTAGTAACAGAATCAAAGCTACCCAGATGTAGAAAAATATTGTAAATAAGGCTCCATTGTTGTTGTGGCTTCAAGTGCACAAAGCAATAGTGGCGAAAAGAACAGCAACATCATTGATTGGTGTCATAAGAAAAATATTTCTAAAACAGTATTTTTGAAACAAAAATATTGTCTGCATGTGGAATAGAAGTGCAAATTATGCAGAAAATGTTTATTTTATAGAAAAAAAAATAAAGTTAATGCAGACATGGCCTTGGTAGTCAATACAGCGCAATCAGTATATTAATTTAAGAAAACCAAAGCATTGCCAGTTGACAATTTAAGTTCTTTCAATTGTCTACAAACCAGTGCCAAGAGGTGTTAAAAAGTACCTGTGATGGTTAAAGTGTTTGTATGTGGTTTGCTGCAGGTCCAACAGAAAGTGCTTTCTAAAATAACACCACTTTAAGCCGCTGGGTGTTAGGTTATTTGGTTAGGGATAATTCCTTTAACTCCTGGCTAACATGAGCTCATAACATAGTTTCACAGTGACTGCTGCTCCTGAACATCTTCATCATGCAGAAAAGGTCACCAAGGGGCAGAGAGAGAGACAGACGGTAGACAAGAGAACTTCAGTGTGTTCGTCTGCGGAACAAGGCTTCTTTTTTTTCTGGTGATTTCTGAATTATTAACAATCAATTTTTATTTAACAACAAAAAATGTTGGAAAAGAAGCAGCGTAATGTTTGCACAGCTGATTTTTAACATGGTACTTTTCATTTTGTTGTGGAAACAAAAGGAAAAAGAGGTCTTTTTTGAACAATAATACAAATAATCAGAATTTGGACTACATATTTTGAAGATTTAAGAACTTGTTCTAGAAAAACTGACTTTAATTTGTGTTAAAACATACACTGAAAATTTAACCCACAAGCAGAATCATGCATCACCAAATCGTCTGCCTTTGATATGAAATAGATTCAGACTGAAGTAATTATGGAACAACACCTGGTTGCACTCAAATATGGACGTGATTACAAACACATCAATCATTTTTACTCTGGTCTGTAAACCACTAAGTAACAGACACTAATGCACATGGTTCACATATTGAAGTATGATTCAATTCTTTAAATTTTACTTCCAAGAAAACAACCTGGTGGTGTTGAACAAATATTCTGTTTTCACAAATGCTTATGTATACCTTTCTTTATATTTTAAGAGTGCAATACACAAAATACTGTCATATTTAAGTACATGCTGGATAGAAAATAAACTGAAAAGCAAAAACGTCCAAGAGATCGAGGACTTTTTATTCAAGACCACGTTGAAATATTACAAAAAGTATGAAAAAAAAAGTATCTTTTAAAGAAACGTACAAAATAAAATCTGAGCAAAACTTGATAGTTGTGCTTTTGGATACTGTATGTTTTTTGTTTTGTTTTTTTTGTTTTTTTTTGGGGGGGGGGGGGTAGCTAACAACTAATGAAGGACACGAATATGAAATTCAATGTAAAAAACTCAGTAAGGATTAAGAGTAATAATGAATGAGTAAAGCGTAATTTAATTTTTCTATTCAATTCAGTTTGTTTATACAGCACCAAATCACAACAGAAGTTATCTCAGGGCACTGTACAGAAACGTTCACATACATATAAAGTCAGTTAATAATGTTATTTCTAAGGAGACAACAGATTGCTTTGAGTTTTAACTTCATTGCAGTCTCCCATCCTAATAAGCAAGCACAGAGGCAACAGTGGAAAGAAAAAACTCACATATGAGGAAGAAACCTCCAGCAGAACCAGGTTCAGGACAAGCGGCTATCTGCTTCGACCAGCTGGGTTTGGAGAGGGCAGGAAGGAGAAAACAAACACAGAATGACAAGTCCAGGATAGAGGCCATCAGGTTGTCTCTTCCACAAGAACCTTCTTGGCCATAGAAGCAGCGTGGTGGGAGGAGAAGGCAACATTTGCAGATACTCCCTCAATTCAAGGTCCAGCTTTGAGGGACTCTCTTTCCACCCCTTCAGCCATTAAACGCAACACTTGCAGTAGTCTTTTTTGTCTGATTGAAGCCGGCAGATCTCCAATACAAAGGCGTCTTTTCTCTGTGATGTGGCAGACGTTGAGGTGGCGGCCATTAATTTATTCATTCAATCTTTACTTATACAGGCTAGTGTCATTGAGCCACATGGGCTCATTTACAAGAGGGGCCTGTTCCAGGCAGAACATATAAAGTACAGACAACAAAACAGACAATGACAGGCTCTAGCATGTAGTTGTGTAGCAGACGAATGGCCTCAGTAGCTACGGGAACAGTGCCATATTTGGCGTAATAGGCAAAGCCCCGATTCTGACTGCTGAAGTTCATCATGAGACGAAACTCCCACAATGGCCCCACGGAGCCGAACAGAGGGATCCGCACATCGTCATAGGTTTTGTGTGGGATGTGGCTGATGAATACCTCGCAGCAAGTTACTGGGATAGGACCATCCCACATCTCAGGTGACCCTCCATACTTACACTTACTGACTTCTACTACTTACTTACTACTTACTTACTGACTTCATACAACATAATTCAGTTCAGTTTGTTTAGAGCCAAATCACAATAGAAGTTATCTCAGGCACTGTACAGAAACATTGCCCGTTAACTTGTGTCAGCTTTGTGCCAGTGGTTTTCTGCCAGTTCTCTAGAGCCTGAACCTGCTCAACATTTAACATCTTTTTTCATTTTTCAGCACCTTATGGCTGTAGAGTGATGTTCGCCTACGGCTGCAAAAAAAACAACAACAAACAAACAAAAAGAAAACATCAGCCCCTCATCAGTTCTTGCAACCAGACAGACATTTCCTGTCCTGGCTGTCCCAGCTTTGTCCTTCATCTGTTGTCTTCTTTGTGCCCATCAGTAGAAATGGAGCAAATTAAGGATTATCTTTGTTCATTTTAACACACACTGCTCTGATTAGAACAATAATGAGCTGGCAATACGCTCATGAAGATTCTCAATCATCCAGGACATGGTAAATTGAAAAAAGTTCAAGACAAAAGCTACCGGACTCCACTTTGCGACCAAAGACATCTCACCTCTCACCTGAGGAGCCCCCCACCCCCACCCCCACCCCCACCCCAAAGCTGAGGTGTTCTGCAAGTGATGTTGTTGATTGATAATGATGCTGATTAAAGAGAAATCCATACTAAGTTTAGACTGAAGATAACAAACATAAAAGCAAAAAAAGTGTTTTCTTTGAGTTGAAGAAAATTGTTCCTAAGCCATGATCAGGTGTTTTAACTGTTTTTAAAAAAAGATAGCATTTTGTGTGTGATGCCACTAGAACATTTAGGCTAATACATTCCATGCTAAAATGCTCTCTAACAGCACATATCACTGTATCTGGTTAAGACTACCATAGTTATGTTTAAAAATATATTTTTATTCAGTGACATTGTGTCTTGATAGCAGTAAATACACTTTTAGGTAATTAGGTATGACACCAGTTATTTGATTACCATCAAAAGCTGTAGTGTGGAGCATAGGTCAGCAACTTGTCATTATAGAGGTAAATGGTAAATGGACTGTACTTATATAGCGCCTTTCTATCTTATTGAGATACTCAAAGCACTTTACATCACAATCTGTGTCCTCATTTACCCATTCATACAGCACTCTACTAGATCTCTACAAAGCTAAGTGAACAAATCATTCTAAAGAGACTAATCAGAGCTTTATCACATTCATACACCAATGGGACACACATCAGATGCAACAAGGGGTTCCATGTCTTGTCCAGGGACACTTTAGCATGGCTGGTGGATTCGAACCCCCAACTCTTGCATTGGAGGACGACTGCTCTAACCACTCAGCCACAGCCGTCCACAGCCGAGGTCATAAATGAAAAAAATGGAGGCATAATTTTTGACACGTCATACAATATGTGCTTTAAGGCATGACGATAATATCTTGTCAAGATGATGTTGAGTAACAAGAAGCTCCAAACTTGTCAAACTCACCTGAGAGAAGTTGAGCCCGTTGAGTGGATGACATTGTTCTTCTACCTTCTCCACTGCTCCCGTCTTCTTCCTCATCCTTTCTGCCTGCTGGGCCAGGTACAGGTCCAGCAGCGGCACCCCTCGTGTCTTGATGTCTGCCTCAGTTAACGAGTTCACCATCAGCATCACCCAAACAGGGCGCTTCCTCTCCCAGTTCCCAGCAATCGCATTAAAGAGGTAGTCGGCATACAGTCCTTTCCCTCTCTGATCTGGGGTCATCCAAGAAGGCATCATGAGTTTTACATACTCAAGGTGTCTTTTCAGTCTCCTGTAGATGTCTCGGGGCAGGACATCCTGAAGCTTTTCACCTTGAGGAAGCAGCTGACAGCTGGTCAGGGCTGAGATGGTGTACGGGTCAGTCAAGTCCAGCTCAAAGTACACAATGTGGCTTTCCTGGAAGGCCTGCTTGGAATTTTCAGGGATGAAGTCCCAAACACGTGTGTAGGGAACGTGGATGGTGCCGTAGAAATACGCAGGAGGATCCCGTTTGATCGTCCACAGGAAGGAGTTTAGGTCAGTTTGCTGTAAAGAAAAATGAGAATGTTACTAACAGTTAGGCTCAACGAGTGTACGTACAGTACCAAACTTTAAGAACAAGGTGTCACCTTTACTTTGCACAGTCAAAACCCAAAGGTTTGCACAGAGAAAACCAAGCCGTAACACATTTTACAAACTGGAATCTGACGTTTTAAACTAATTTGTTGTAATTTCCCACTGCTCGTTTTAACGATCAGGCCCTAAACAGCAAGTCAGAAACACAAAAAGGCACAAAGACAAGGGTTGGATTTACAGTTACTTTACAACCAACTCTGGGCTTGTCTGACACCAGGCATCTCCTTTGTCTACAGAAGACTATTAGACTGCTAACAGACTGATAATGACTTATTAGCAGCTCACTTAGAGCCCAAATGTAAAAGAAACAATACAGATGTAGATGTTTGCCACAATGGCTGGTGAATCACATCATGTTCCTGCTGATCTGTTTCATGTTGCTGTGTTCATTCGTGCTCGGGGTCCCACAGGGAACTGTGCTGGCACCGTTCCTTTTCACCCTCTACACTGCAGGCTTCTCCATCAACTCCCCACACTGCCATGTGCAAAAGTTCTGATGACTCTGCCATAGTCGGCCTCATCAGAGTACAGACGGCGGACTCAGACGGGTGCCAGCAGAACCACCTCCTAATCAACGCTGCTAAAACTAAGGAACTGGGCGCAGACCCACCTCACTGCCCCCGGTGAACATCCAGGGAGTGGACATCGAGATCGTAGACTCTTATAAGTACCTGGGTGTTCACCTGAACAATAAACTGGACTGGTCTCACAACACTGATACACTTTACAGGAAGGGTCAGAGCAGACTCTACCTGCTGAGGAGACTGAGGTCTTTTGGAGTGCAGGGGGTGCTCCTAAAGACCTTCTTTGACTCAGTAGTGGCATCAGCCAGCTTCTATAGTGTTTGTTGGAGCAGCAGCTTAACATCAGCTGAGAAAAAGCAGTTAAATAAGCTCTTCAAGACAGCCAGTGTGCTTGGATGTCCCCTCAACCCAGTGCAGATGGTGGGAGACAGAAGGACTCTAGCTAAAATATCATTGCTGGACGTCTCCCACCCCATGCATGAAGCTGTTGCTGAATGGAGAGCTCCTTCAGTGTGACAGATTACTGCATCCTAAAGGAGCGTTACCAAAGGTCCTTCCTCCCAGCTGCTGTTAAGACTCTACAACCATCACTGCTCCCAACAAACTCACCAAGTATTAAATACATGCTGACCTCTGCTAAAACACACACTCTGCCTATACTACTGCACTGTCAATAGTCTGACATTCTCTATATTCCAATACATACTGAACATTATTATTGATACAACAATTTTCAGTCAGGTCATCTGGACAATTCATTTATTTATTTATTTTTCCCAAAACATTTCACCTTCCATCCAGAGTTATTGAGCATGGACTTTGTTGATTATTATTGATATTGTTTATCTAATTTCTTTATATAATGTTTTTAACATTTTATGAACATTTGTGTGAATCTTTTTATCTGTTGCTGCTGTTAAACTTGAATTTCCCATCCATGGGACAATGAAGGCTGTTTCTATTCTATTCTATTCTCATCTGCTCACACAGACTCATGTTCGTGCTGCTGTTCGGCGTATTGTTTTTATGCTATTAGTGCTTAGCGTATTTTTAGTTGATGTTTTTCTTAGTTCATATCTTAAATCTTATTGCAGTTTTTCTTTTACATTTTATTGTGGGATGTAACTGGGACCCTGAGTACACAGTGTCGTTCCACCACATGTACCACATGTGGTTCGCATGACAATACAGAAACTCTTGCTGTCTTCCTGTTGCTACTGAAGAATACCTAAAAAGTTCATACCTCTAAAAAAAAGACTGTGACAAAGCAACGGGTGAGGTATACAATCTGATTATAACACAACACAATGAAAAATAAGGAATAAACCTTGGTTTGAATGACAAAAAACTTAAGTCACATCTGGACAGATTCTTCTTGGTTTGAATGATTTTCTTGCATGAACTGCCAATGCATAAAACAAATGAAATAGATTGCACTGGAATTTTGAATTACATTTAATGACAAAGCTAAAAATAAAAAAATAAAAATAAAAGGCACATCTTTTTCACATGGCATCTAATAAAGAAGCTTCATGTTGTGAAGGCAAGCAATAAAAGCTGAATCTGACATAAAACTTTCTAAAGAACCAAAGAGTAAGAAGAGTAAAAGGGTCGGGATAAGAAAAGGCACCTTGGATGTATTAAACCATCAGTAAAATCACTTACTTTCCTGTTTGACTCGCAGTTGTGGGACTCCTTCAGCCTCCACTGGTCTGCCCGGACCATCAGAATGACACAGAAGAGGGTGAATGATCTCAAAGTGCCCCGCATCGTTCGTAGCTCTCTCCGGACTCCGTGTTTGCAACTTTTGTCCCCCCCACCCCCACCCCTTCCCAGAAAGCATGGACGGCAGGTCCTATGTCCACTGCTCCGTCTGCATGCAGTCGCGTAAAATCATCTGACAAGTATCCAAAAGAGTCATGTTGACGGAAGCCTCCGGGACGCAGCGCGGCTGTTGATCCACGTTTGTGTTCGGAGAAGGGGGAAGAGAGGTGGCTGCAGAAGTTTGCGCAGGGTCACATCATCATTATCCTCTTAGAAATGTGCTTCCATAACTCCTGATTTACTGAAATGAACCCGTAACGCAACAGTCTGGGGCAAAAGTTGTCTGGCAGCTTCTGATCCACGCCGCGTAAAACCAAACCAAACCAAAAAAAAAAAAAAAAAGTAAGGAGGGCGGTGCGCGCAGAGAGATTATCATCCAGGTGTGAACGAGAATTGGCGAGCACTACCCCCCAAATATGCAAAAGTAAACTCAAACTTCTCTGCAGACTGCTTGTCTGCCAGCGACTGGGTGCGTGTGTAGCGGGTGGCATCCACGACCCCCTCCCTATCCACCCACTTTCACATAATCTGCAGCAGTAATCTGATTAAACCTGTACCTCCTGTTTGATTGCTTGTTTCAGTACAATTGATATAAAACGGTAAGTATGTAGTTTTGATTTAAGGTATTTGTTTTAAATAGCAGCAATATTTCCCTGATGAGGTATGTTGTTGTGGCTCTGCAGGAGGGCCAAAGACAATCAAGAATACCAATGGAGATTCCCTGGAAAGATTATCATTCCCTCCCAAAGAATGACTTTCAAATTGAAAGCATTTGCATGAGAAATGCTGCAACAACACCTCTTTATTCTGCTCTGTCTGAGGACAGGAGCAGTGCTCCGGTGATAAAAAGTGGCTCATTTTACCAAAATGTCCTTGAAGTTAGCACTGAATGACTGAAGAAATGTACTGAATACGCTGAACATGAGTGGGTAAAGATAGAAGACACAGAAAGTTAACTAAATGCTAAAAGTAGGCAAAAGCTAGCTGAAAGTTAAAGCAGTAAACACAATTAAGAGTAGCAAAATGCTTGTAACAGCTAAAAGTAGTAAAATCTAAGCTGAAGTAGCAAAATGCCAGATGTAAAGCAAAACTTGGCAAATGTTAGCTAAAAGCTAAAAAATGGGAAAATGTTAGCTAAAAGTGGCAAAGTGCTGTCTTAAAGTTATAACAAAACGTGAGCTAAAAAAGTAAAGATAATAAAAAAAACTATATAAAAAGTAAAAGTACCATTACGTCCTAATGCATGCTCAGTAATACAGTATGTCCTCTGGATGGATTTTTCTTTGTTGAAACGTTTCATCTTTCGTCCAAAAGACTTCATCAGTCTGAGGAATCACAACAAACTCAGTCTTATAAATAGCACCTTCACATATTGAGTCAACAGGTTTGATGGTGCTAAGATGGTTTCTGGAGTCCACCCTCTCCCCCACCGACCCGTTTGAGGCAGCCATGGCCAAAGTGGTTCAAAACATCAAAGTTTATGCTCAATGATCCAAGTAACAAAAATCCACCTGTTAAGTCAGGTCCCCTGGACAGTTTCTTCTTTGATTAATATTTTCTTCTATTATCCAAAAGACTTATTCAGTCTGAGGCGCTGCAACAAACTCAGACATTGGCCCCATTTACATGGACATGGCGAGGGGAAACAAAAGCTTTTTCTGAGGTTGATTCAAGGAAAAAATCTGCGTTGACACGGGCCACATTTCATGTTTACATTTAACCGTAGAAAACCCCCCGAATCTGCTGTAGTTACCATTATTATTACTAGGATTATTGGGCATGCATCAGGATATGTAGTTACAATGCCAGGTCATTATAGTTGGCGCTGTGAATTTTGTACACTCACCCAATGCACATGCATGCTGCCTGTTCTCACAAAGAGGTCCTTCCTCTGGACTGAAAGCCCTAACATCAACTCAACAACAAGTTAAAGCTGGATTTTGGATACGAGTAGACCGATTTGACGCCAAGCTGGACTGCTTCGTCTAACAGCTCCATACCGGTCGCTGAGCGAACCAGCTCATAAATTAATACCCTCTTCCACTTGTAAGAGGAGAACAGTTGAACATGAGAGCTGGTGCAGGAAGAACAACCTTCGCATCAATGAGAAGAAGACGAAGGAGATGGTCGTGGACTTCAGAAGGAATGAACACACCTACCCCACCCCCCAAGGAGGATCTGCAGTGGAAGTGGTCTCCAGCTACAAGTACTTGGGGGTGCACTTGAATGACAACCTCATCTGGGGCAACAACACCACCAGCCTGATCAAGAAAGCTCATCAGAGACTCTACTTTCTCAGCCGGCTGAGACGAGCTGGTCTGGGAAGCTCAGTCCTCACCTCCTTCTACAGGTGTGCAGTGGAGAGTGTCCTGTGCTCCAGCATCAACGTGTGGCATGGAGGCTGCACAGCTGCAGAAAGAAAAGTTTTGCAGAGAGTGGTGAAGGCTGCACAGAAATCTGTTGGAGTCAGCCTCCCCACCATCACAGACATCTACACCTCTAGATGCAGGAAGAAAGCCAACTGCATCATGAAGGACCCCACTCACCCAGCACACACACTTTTTGCCCCACTCCCCTCAGGAAGGAGGTTGAGGAGCATTAAGTGTAGAACCACTAGACTGAGGAACAGCTTCTACCCTGAGGCTGTTAGAATCATGAATCTCTAACCAGGATGATCACTGTGAAAAAAATCACATCTGGAAGCTGCTGATCTGTTTCATGTTGCTGCTGATCTGTTTCATGTTGATGTGTTCATTCGTGCTCATCTGCTCACACAGACTCATGTTCGTGCTGCTGTTTGGCATATTGTTTTTATGCTACTGGTGCTTAGTGTGTTTTTAGTTAATGTGTTTCTTATTTCACACAAATCTTGTATTATGTCTTACCTAGTTCGGTGGAATGTGTTTTAGAGGACTTTAAAATCCAATTTAAAGTTCATCAAGGGCTATGTGAACTCACGAGATCAAACTTCCGAGGAAAAAATAAAGAACATTTTGGGATGGGGAAAAAAATTAAAATATTTTTACCCGTTGCTGCTGCTGTTTCCAGCCAGAAAAACAGTAAAATTGTAGAATTATAGAGGACACGTTTTTAGCTTTTGAATGAAATCTATATACAGATAGATGGGAAGGAGTTATTTCTAATACTGAGTTTGTTGCAGCTCTTTGGACAGATTAAGTATTTTGGATGAAAGACTAAACTGAACTGAAACGTTTAAAATAATAAAAAATAAAATTAAACGTCAATAGGACCTGACTTAACTTTGCTGGATCTTTTTCTACCTGGATTATCGAGCATGAATCAGGATCAATATACAAATAATTTGATTGAACAAGTTTCATCTAGATTCAGTTTCATTATTCCTTTCCAGTCTACATGACACAATCTATCTCAGATTTTAACTTGTATCGAGGCATAAAAATCATACTAAAATTAGAATTCATTAACAAATGACACAAATTGTGCTCTGTCAATTAAGTGGACCTCAGTTTGTCATTTGGACACTTTGTCTGTTTTAGCGCCTCCTACTGGAAAAAGTTGGCTCTGCACCAAATGTCCTACTAGTCTGAACTTTGGCCACATGAAGTAGTTTTTTGTTTTGTTTTCCATAAGATACATCCAAAAAGACAACTGAGTGAAAAAACAAAACTGTCTTTATGGTCAGCTAGTTATGGACTGGTGGCAAAAATCCTTCCTAAATTGACACAATGTGTACAGTATGTTAAGGTAAAAACAACAACAAAGTCATTACAGTTTTAAAAGTGAGACTGTACATCACTCTGTGAGTATCAGTTATGATGCAACATTTTATTTTTAGATTTTGTTTTTTTCTTGCTTATTTACCGTAATTTCCAGACTATAAGCCGCTACTTTTTTCACATGCTTTGAACCCCGTGGCTTGTACAATGCTGCGGCTAATTTGTGGATTTTGTTTTTTGATGAGCTAATGAGCTTCCTGCTGCCAAATATTTAGCCTCATCACACCCCGGCGCTCACATAGCCCTCCCAATACACATCTCTCCTGGGGGGTGGGACCTTGTGACTCAATGAGACTACCTGTATAAATAAAGGTTAGAAAAAATCTGACAGATTAAATTACCAAACAGGTCACAGTGGACCAATGAAACAAGGAGTGGAGTAGAGAACGAGGAGGGGGAACTTGTGCCCCTCCATGGAGGCACAACAAAATATTTGCATCCACTTGATATCAGTGTGAATCGTGCACTTAAGTGACACTCGAAGTTCGGTGCATGCTTTTTAGATCCCAATGTTTTTTTTCAAAGGAGAGCTTCTGTGCATGTGTCAAAAATCAGCTCAACCCACTTAGAAACAAAATTCAGATAAGTTTGAGACTGGTTCCAAATGTCTGAAATGAGTTTTTCTGAGAGACCATTTGTTGCACAAATGTTTGAACATATTCAAAACTCAATAGACTGCGAGCTTTTCTGACACACGAAAGGAAATTGAGAACCTTTGCAAATGTTTTGAAACATTTTGGAGACTCCCTCGCCACTGCAATTAGCAAATTAGTCATCAGTAATCATAACCTCTTTTGCATCTGCTCCTTATTAGTTACCAATAATCACAACCCATTTTATACCTTTACGCGCCTGCTCTTTATTAGTCACCAATAATCATAACTCATTTTGTACCTTTACGTGCCTGCTCCTTATTAGTTACCAATAATCACAACCCATTTTGTACCTTTACATACCTGCTCCTTATTAGTCACCAATAATCACAACCCATTTTGTACCTTTGCACAC